AATATCGACTTAGTATTACCCGTTACAAAGTGCTTCCCATGAAAAAGACCTCGGGGTGACCGTGCAGGACGACCTTGGTTACTCGAGACAGGCTGAAAAGGCATCACAAAGAACCAGTCAACATCTTGGACTCTTATGGATGGATTTCGACAATTTTGAGCCATCAATCTTTCCGAAAATGCTGAACACTTACTTGAAGCCTGATGTGAATATTCGATACAGGCCTGGCGTCTCTGACACAGAGGCGACGTCGATGCACTTGAAGCTCCGTAACATAGAGTTACCAAACTCGTTGGAGGATTGTTTCATCTCTCTTACCAACGCAGACTGCAGTCCTTGAGATTGTACAGTGGGGAATATCGACGTCATCGAGGAGACCTAATCCTGGTTTACTTAACATTGATAAACCTAACACGCATGTCGCAATCTGTTGCAGCTGAGCCGAAATACCAACCTGAGAGGTCATCAGCTCAAACTGGCTACGCATTACAGTCGACTTGATTCTCGACGCAATGTTTTCTCCCTCCGTGTGTCCCGTGCCTGGAATACCCTCCCAGCTCATGTTATTCTTGCCCCTACATTAACGCTTTATAAAAAACGCCTTGATGAAACGCTTTCAAACTTGCATTATTTGATATAGTCCGTACCCTTTGGAGGACAAAATAATGCAAACCTAACCTAACTTTAACAGCTCTCTATAATATTTTGCGTGTACACATCCCATTCCCACTTCAAACTATCGTTATGCAGTAGTACATTTAACTCGGTAGACGCTTGAAATAACCATTTCCTTATTCGATGGTCCTTTAAATTTTCGTTTTTACTACTATTATCCTACGGGACTTTCAAGCACATGCTCTTTTACTCTTGCTAAATCATTGTTCATTGTTCAACACAAGGAATTCTTTGACTCATTGAATGCGCTGTTTGAACCCATCTTGCAGCTGCTGAGGACGCTTGTAGATGCTACTTCAGGCGCTGCCTGCCCACAAATTGCAGACCTACTGCAGACCTGGAGAAAGCACTTACATTATCCCTTGAACAACCGTTCAGAGGTTGAGCGGGTTGTGTTGCACTAGCTAAAACAACAAGTGATGAAGATCTTTCTTGCCAACACAGCGACACTGGATGAGACGCAGAGAGCATTTGCTCAGCTGCGAAACTGGAAATGCATCGAAGCAGACGGGATGCTACCGGAAGCGTTGAAACACGGCAGACCCGCTTTGATGCGTGCGTTACACCACTTAGTACAACGCGTGTGATTTAAAGAACGTGTGCCATCTGAGTCGAAAGATGTCCATATGCTACCACAATACAAGGGCAAAGGGAATAAGCAGTGCCATGAATTATCGTGGTCTCAATCTGCTGAGCTATGTTGGCAAAGTGATCGCACGAGTCCTGCGCAACCGACCAGTCACAGGTCGTTGAACTGCACGTAGCGGAAAAGCAACGCGGACTCTGTTCGGGCCTCAGCACCACAGATATGGTGTCCGAACTGATTAAGTTGCGTCGATTTGGGCACGTACTACCAATGCCCGGTCACCGCTTACCGAGGAGGGTCTTGTTTTGTCTACCAGATGAAGTGTGGCGCAAGGCCTGAGTTGGGCAAAAATTAGCTTGGCAGCGGGAAATGAAGTTACTGACGACCAACCTGGGTGCCGTCAGTCCGTCTCGTCCTCCACGCTGCAGTCCACGTGACTCGCCTTGTGCTTGGCTGGAGACGTCACAGGATATGGCTTGCAGTCGGCACCAGTGGCGTGTCTGCTATCGTCTCCTAGTCGGATTGCCTGTTACCTGCGTGGAAATGGCTGATTATGACGCGAGGGAGTGAAAGCCACAGGGGTGCCCTCTCGTCGATACCGTCTTATCATTGCACGGCTGCCAGCTGTTTGTGACCGTATGTTGTTGACACAAGGTGTAGGCGCTTCGACCCTGAGTGTTTGTTTAGATTTATGTTTTACCCTTGGTCCCCTTTCGCTGTTATTGTTCCTCCTTCCGTAGGTCACGGTGGCTGTACGGTAGTGAAGTATCAGTTCAAGTATCTGATGTGTTGCTGTTGATGATGATGATGTTCGTGGCTCGTCAGTTGCAGCAGAAAGGTTGAGCGACTCCAGCCATTGTCCTCACTGTTTGTTAACTTTACTAAAGAAGTTGACACGGTGAACAGCGAGGTACTGCTTCTGGTGTTTGGTAAGTTTGGTTGTCCGAGTGCGTTTGTAAGTTTATTAGGATGTTTGCACTTGGGTTTTCGGGAGGGGCAACTCGATGTACAGATCTCGGATGACTTCGACGTTGTCTCCGGTGTAAACTAATGCTGTCTTTTGGCCACTGCCCTTTTCAACATTTACCTAAGTGTAACCATGGCTTGTGCTTCTGATGCTGCTTGTGATTACGGTATCTGTGTGGAGCACCGTATTGATGGTGGACTCTTGAACATCTGTCGTTTCGAGGCGAGAACCTAACTTAGGACAGTTCTGTGTATATTTCTTCCAATGATACTGGTTTTGAGCCATGTTTTCAAATGTGTCAAGCCGCTGTCACGCCTCATCCTAACTGGCAAAAGATAACATCCAAGGCACCAAAAACAAGCAGTGATAACATTTGTCGGCCAATCCAGTCGCCTCCTCCAGGTACGGTGATATTTTACATGTGGCTTTTGGGCCTTTCTATTCCCTGCTTCCTTGGCTCACTTTGCTCTGACGAAGCTGCGGGCCTAAGCCCAATGAGAGTTTTGAGATTCCATCCGCAGGGAACTATCTCCAACACCGATTTGGTTTTGCGTAATAGCATTAATCCAGCCGCAGCAAAGCATATCTTCCACGACAATAGCGAAATCTGAGGTGGAACAAATTTGCCTTTAATTTTGCATGAGATGGGGATATCATAGACCCATTCAACTAAGCTTTCCTCCCCTTTCCAACACCACCAACACTGACTAAGGGGCGAATCGGTCTTGTCGATTACCTCCTTGATTGTTCGAGCTCCGCTAGGCACCTGACTGCCATTTCGCGTGCGGATCTGGTATCTCAGTTAAGTTGATGTGACATTTCTACCTATTAGCCAATATCGCCTCGATTCGATGTCAGCAAATGTGCTACGTTCAGCATTGACTAGGTGAGTGGCACGCATCGGTCCCCCGACCACGGGACGCTCGATTTGGTTTGGTGGAACTTTCGTCTCTGGACTCTCACCGTGTGTGAATGATTGTAAATTGCGAGGCTCTATCAGTCCGTAAGCGGCATAAGAGGAGGGGATTACATGTTCCCACTGCTTCCAGCACACGATGACGGTTACATGACGCCAATTATTAGAGAAGGTACAGCTGTCCCATCTATATTTAGGACGTGTGGATTCTAGGATCGAACCTCGCCATTGGTCAGTCTTACAAGGTAACGTTCCACTAGTCTGTCACTCAAAAATTCGAGGAAGAAAGAATGGATGAAAAATATGTTTTTGTTAGTTCATGAGATTGCTGCTTGAGTGATGTCTATGTTTATAACTAACATAAATCTGTGTATGTGGCAGCAACAAAAGTAGCATTCACATTCAATGCAACGATTAGAACGAAAGTTTCCCATGAGTCAACGGCTACCGAGGCGAAAGAAATGTATGCATAATATAATAAGCATGTATGTTGCTCATTGTTGGCTAAGATTTAGAAATTACGGCTGGAGACAATATTGAAACCCTCGTATCCGAAACCCGCAAAATCGTCCATTAGGATAGCAAGTTCGTGACTTCTGTAATAAAAAGAAACCTAATTGGTATAAGCTGTTGGTTATTGTGTAAAGATCAGTTAAATACGCTTGCACACCGGCAACTTTATAAAAAGCACTTCCTTATCATCCATTCCGTTGGCAAACTGGCTGAACCTTACCGACACATATAACTAACTTTTCTCATTGTGAACTGGAGGGAGGCCTCTGTTGAAGACTACATACTATATCGAGAGTTCGCTATCTAGGTCACATCGATCGTATAGATGTCTGTCTAAGGCTATTTACCACTTACCACCAGACCAGAGATCTCGTTCCCTCACCAAAACACATAACTAAAGACCGCGCTTCGTGTGTTCCACGGTGCGGCCCGTTGTTTGTGCATGCAATAGCGCGCAGCTGAAGATTGTGGCCACGTTTGCGCGGTCATGCTTGTAAATTCTAGCTCATTCGCCGTCACCAGCAGCTACTCATACAGTACGTCCGATGGAAGAGGGCCGATGAACGCATTCCGGAATGTGAAGGGCGGTTCATGAACCGATCGCGGCTCGCTAATGGTGAATGCCGGTCATGTACGATAGTTGTCCCCGCCATCAAATGCTGAGCGGAATGGCGTGGGTGCGCGAGTGCAGACACATTAATTTCGCTCTAACCTTAGTGGTGAAGACATACAGCATCCTCCTCATACAAGTGGTTTAGTTCAGGCATCAGCTGAGTGCAAGCGTAAAACTGGTGAGGTAAAGGCCGGCACGCCGGCAGTTCGAGCGAGACAACTAAAGACAGTCACATGACACTGTCCGGCGATCGCTAGCTGTCAGCTAACCTCACTCTGAATGCTGAGCGCGGAAGGTCGTGGAAAAACGTTCATCGACCCTCTTCCATCAGACGTACTGTAGTTCCCAGCCATGTTGTGGATGTAACGCTCCAATTATTTTCCTCTGACAGCTACAGTCTCCGGAAGTTCGAACATATTTCTTCAGCCGGAGGCTGAATAGTGGCTTCGGTCTCTGTGTGATCGAACTGCGGGGCATTCGCTCAGCGGCGTTCGATAGCTGTGTTGGATTACATTGGTGTTATCAAAGCGATAGTTTTGCCCTATCTGTGGTGTGCTTTTATTCACCCACAATTTTATTGGATACGCAACTGCAATTTTTATTGGCTGACGACCTCTAGTACTCCAAACAATGGTCTAGCACTGTAGATATGTCCAAACTACATGGGCCTAATGTGTCCGCAGTAAAGTCAATCTCATCCGGGGAATGCCCTGAACAGACCTCGACCCACCTTTGTCCATTACCGGTAGACTGATTGGAAGGAAGAATTCTCTCGAACACTGTTCTTTTTCTCGTACTGAAAGAAACAAAAGAATACTCCCTGTAAGATACATTGGAGGTTAAGGGCTCTCGTTTTCTACTCTTATCAATTACTCCATCAGTTAGATAGCTCGGATATACGCCTGCTTGGGGGCCCTTTCGGTTTACTGATCAATGTCACACATAGCACACAACCTAGCCAATACTATGAATGTGGCTTGTTTGCTTTTGTTCCACTTATCGGTTGCAGCAGTTTGTCGCATCCAACTGGAACGTGTTTAGTATGCAAAAGTGTTGGTTAGAGGCGAACCGGGGAATTTAGCATCAGATATCTCTGACGTCCTCAAAGGCTCTGACCACTCCCTTAGCTCTCCAATGACATGGAGACATTCGTGTTGCAACTTGCCATTGGAACACGCGTTATCTCCTCAATTGCTGTACTATGCTATGCAGTACCACTGTATCACGATTCGACCAGCTGTATGACGGCCATATTTCACCGGCGCTGATCATCAGGTACGACACTCTTGTTGAAGACATTACAGATGCGAAAGAGCACACTGTTTAACGGATGGCTGGGTTGGGGTAAACTGCGACCTGTGCACCCTGGGGCAGCTTTGTTTCTTCTTGTGCATCATGATACGTTAAGTGCTAATCGTGTGAGGAAGTTTATCTATCGTCGTTAATGTGCATTTGTGTGCTGAAGTTGCGTTAACGAACGCTGTTGCTACGGCATGTCAGGGTGGCTTATATTGCATGTGGTGTTTTCTAAACCCAATGGTTATTTGCAACCACCAGGAACTTGCCCACAAACCGCTTTTGTCTACCGAAAACGCGTCTACTTAGCATGTGGTTGGGTGCATGTGCTTACCTGTGATGCACTCCATCCGTGCGGACGGTCCTGAGTTATGTGCTATTTCACACGGTGAGCTACAGGGGAGTCCAGAACTGGCAAAGTTCAAGAGTCTGTTGGGGGCGGGGGAAGCGGCAGGTCACACTGCGTGAGCTCGTTTCGTTTGGACCAATCACTATCAAGCCATTATCACTTTTCGGTTATGAGCATGGGGAAAGCAACATCAACGCCACGATAGTGGTACCGCAAATGACTTACTGGTCGTAATTCGGATGAATGCGGTGCGGAACAGGGACGGAATCCCTAATGAACATTACTCCCGCGGCGGACTGATGGCACTCCCTTTCCAGCAACCAGCGAATTCTCGAAATCCGGCTGAATGATGGGCCCGTTAATTCCATTTCTGGCCACGATAGAAACTGGGATGAACAATGGATTATCTAGTGGAGTCAACATATAATATAGGCAGTGCTTCAAAGTATCAACGGTTAAAACGATTAATGGTGTGTCATGAAATCCAATGTGGGCAGGACCGAGTGGTGGACGACATCGCTGCACAAACGGGATGAAAACGGCAAACTGTTGCACTTGGAATACATTTGTGCCAGATCAACCATTGTGCAATGATCTTCAAAATGCAGCTGACCGATTGACAGCTTCTTTATTTGCGTGCTTAGTTCTTGGACATTCGTACACCCGCAAAAGAAGTTGGAATGGTAGAAAGTAGAGATGCTTCTTTGAAGGGGACTCTACGCAGTTTAGTGACAGTTACTGTTGTGATTGATAATGTTCTAACTCCCACTTAGTAATAAGAAGACAGAATTGGCACTGCCTGAAAACGTTTACTTGCACAACTGATGTCACAACCAACTGTTCGGGAAAGCCGTTAACTACTCACTTGGTTAAAAGCAATCGATGCTCACTTGCCAGGTGGTTGGTTGAAGTTCCAAGCTAACATACAAACACATGTGCTGGAAAACGATCGATTTTTACGTGTGTCGTCTGGCTGACATGCGTGTGATCTCTAACGTCTTCCCCGGTTAAAAATAAAATGTTGTACGTAAGATCTTTTGCTTGGGATAACATTGAGGCACTGAATTGGGGGGCGGGGACGTTCGCGTGTAGGATTTCTTTGCTCAAGTTCCACTTTTATGCTCACACCAACGCGCTGCTCCGGTTGTGGTTCCATTGGCTTAGGCAAAGCAAATGTATCTAAACGAATGTTTAAGGGACTCTCCGTTATGTGATTTTGCTGAACCTGTTCGGGTGTATAACGAGGTTTGATGTGATGCACATGACGTGGTCAATCGGTTTCGACATTCCATTTCATACAGGACATTTCCTTTTCTTGCTTTGACAATTCCGGAAATCCAAGCTTTATGTGTATCCTGAAGCTGTACATCAGGAATGGTTCACTAGGATGAAAATATCTCACGCGAGTACCGTGCTTATGATTGGACTGACGTGCCATTTTCTGGTCACGCTCATTAGTCTCTTTTGCTGGAAACATGGCATCTAACGAAATGCATAAACGTCGGCCAGTAACAAGTTCCGACGGTGATTGTTGCTCTGGGAGACCAGGATTTGGTGTTGAGCAATACATTCGTATGGATACATCCAAGTTTGCAACAATATCTCCCTCTCCTTTAAGGTTAAACGGAGCATGTTTGAATGTATCCACAAACCTCTCATTCTGTCCATTGGACTGGGGATGATAAAGGGGACTGCGTATATGTTGTACACCCATAGATTGACAAAAACCGGTGGACTCGTTCGAGGTGAATTGTGGACCATTCTCAGTGGCCATTGCGTCTTAGGAACCAAGCTGTGCGAAATAACGATGAAGAACTGCGATCGTTGAAGCTGTCGTTGGTTGTGACACAAACTATTGCAGAACATTTTGAGTATGAATCAACAATAACCGGAAATATTGTTTATTCTGTGGGCCTGTATAATTCACATGAATTCGCATACCGGGGGCAGGTGATTTCGGCCAAGAATGAAAGGCAACTTTGATGGGGGTTTTCGTAGCCTGTGTACATTTGGGACAACGATGAACAGCGCCTTCAATATCCTTATCAGTATTTGGCCAATAAGCATAGCATCTGGCAAATGATTTCATTCGTATACTTCCCTGATGTCCGGCGTGAAGCATTGGAATCACTTTTGTTCTGAGATTTTTAGGAATCAAAATACCATCTGCCAGCAATAAACAATCGTCAACTATTCTTAAGGCATCTTTACTCAAAAACTCTGTTTTATTCCCACGTCTGATGGAATTCTCGATAAACCGTTTCGAAGATAAATGACTTGTTGTAGACAGCTATCTGATCACGTATCCTCATAAATATCATTGTACGTAATTGGTAAGTTTCGTATGGACTCCTCGAAAATCGATTTTGTTTTGGCATCAACTTCAGCTGAGGAACTGGCTGTGTCTTCACGTGGCTGCGAATTCGATCTGTTAGCAATCAGGCGCGAAAAGACGTCAACATTGTCAAAGCATTCCGAACGGATACTTTTAATGACAAAATCGTATCCGAGAAGTATTGTTTCCAATCGTTGCAAGCGATTTGGAGCGTGAACAGGAATTCCTTTCTTGGTACCAAACATAGACAGCAGGGGTATGTGGTTAATGCATAACGTGAATTTCCGACCACGCAAAATTTTAGGAAACCTTTTGACTTCAAACACAATTGCTAAATTTTCTTTTCATTTGGGCTGTAATTCCGTTCAGTTGTTGTTAACGTGCGTGAAACCTGACTGACTGCTTTTCACCTGCCATCCGGAAACTGGTGTAAGAGTGTTGCTCCAATCTCGTAATCTGAAGCGTCAGCACCAACTATAATGGGTAGTTGCGGGTCCTAGTGTGTAAGTGTAAGATACGAACTTAAAATGCGTTTTATTTCATCAAATGCCGAGTGACAAGCTAGCGGCCATATCCATCTTACAGAGGCATCTGTATTGAGTGCAGATTAGGAACAAAGTAATTGTAATAATTATCATCATCGTCACCATCATACACGTTAGCTAGAGGTGGGGAACACCTCAGCTACTGCACCGCATTACACAGAAAAAAGGAGAAACAAATGCAACTGTTGCAAGCCGGCTGATCTACCGGTAACGGAAGGGTATCGTTCCGGTAAGCTACCAGCCGGCTACTGTGCATCAAGAAAAATTACAAATGCAGAATTATATAAGGCTAAATAAAGAGACCGTGGTTGGAGGGGGGAGGGGTGAGACAAAGAAACTCACAGCACGAACGCAACTGAGGTCGGCTCCTAGCCATATCAGCAAGTGTACCACTTAACTAGTCCCAAAAACGACTGAAATCTTTTCATGTCCCTTGGAGCTTGTAACTGATGCATCCAGTTATCACGAAATGACACAGTAGCACGATCCTCAAATAGCAAGGATGAGGAACTTTTGTTTCCGGGTTACGTCAGTCACACTCTACCCTTGTGACATAGCCACAGGATTTTGCGACACTTAACATTGTCTCCTTTGCATATCGCAAGTTGTTGACATCGGATACCGAAGCCCGTAACTTGCCTCGTCCAGTTGGTTGTGGCAAGTTTTGTCGCACCAACGCTGACGAATTCGATATGGTAATCGGGGAGCACATGCGCGACCGAATGGACGTACTTAGCATGAGGCGATGATTGAGCAATAGGACGCCTTGACACCTGACCACTGAAATATGCAGACCTGATCGCAGTGAGCAGGGGGTGGTCGTTGACCAGGCAACGGAACGCAGCCGATTGTGAATTGTTTAGCATAACTCACTTATGATGAATGTGGAAGGTTAGATACGATCCGTGAAGTATGGGAGCCGTTTCCCATCATATGAATGAAAACACTGCGCAAGAGATACTGGCGATTCGCTACCTGCATTAGAACAAAGCGCATAGTTGCGCTCCTCATAGTCAGTGTAAACTGAACCCATAGCAGTACGGGGTGCGATAAAGTGGGGCCGGGCCAGAATGAAATATTTGGTAGTCAAGAGATGCAGTTGAAACACTGCTTCAAAACACTTGGCGGTTAGCATCGATTGTTAGCGGGAAATCGGAGTGGGGCAAGGTTACAAATGATGGAGCCACTAACAGGCAATGTTGCAAACCCATGGGCGAAAGACACGGTACATTACATTGTGCTCCCCGTTATAGGTGTCAGCATACATGACTGAGATCATGTAGTAGTTGGTATGCCATTATGAGGTCTCCCCGTGGCGTCCACTGAGCCATCAGAATCCCTGCAGTCGGTCGGATACGGAAGGTGCCGTAAACCCTTGGCAACCTTCGTTGTCCGGAGTCTTTCGAACGCAGCGAAGTCGTGCTTTAACCAGGGTTGCCAAGTCTTCACAGCTTATTCGACTTAGGACTACGTGGGCGTTCAGCACCCGGGAGAAGATGGAGGAACCTACACTGTCGAGTACCCTTCTCAAGATGTCAGCATACTGGTTGCCTCTTGTTAAATCAGACTCTAACTGTCTGGAACAACAATGGATAGTTAAAACGAGAAGATAGGTTTCTTATTATCGGAATATCTAATCAATTAGGCAAAACATGGTTTTCTACAGGCCTGGTTAGATGCAAATTTCCAAATGGACATTCTTAAACACACTACAATGACTGCTGATGCTGACAAGTCAGTTGTAAATATATCTAACGATATGGGTAAACCATTTCACTAAATTCCAAACGTTAGATCGCGGGACGTGTTACATTTTGTTGTCATCCTGTAATTGATTATATCTACCGACCTCCCCGAGCAACCCATCATGAAACCTAGTAGCCAATATATGCTATCTACACGGTTCCAAGCACCGCCTACAAGTCCAAACTTATGTGTGAATATTTTAATGCGCCACAAGTTAACGGGTTACTGCCTGGACCTTCGGTCTAAACGCGACTAGACGAAATGGGTGTGCTCTATCCACTTCAATGGCTAAATCACATATGTCAGAGGACCCACCGGAAATGCCGATAGCCTAGATTCGGTATTCACCATGAGGATCCAATGTACTTGTGCACTCATTGACAGTCCACTACCGGGCTGCGACCATAACATGGCGTTTTGTATCGTGAAGTTGTAACGAACTAAGCCACTCCAGTATAAAGTTGCAACCCACGCATAATATTCACCGAATTGACTGGAATGTATTTAAGGAACTTATATTCACTATGAATTGGGTGTCATCATTCTGAACCGGTGAATTTGTCAACAACGTTACTACGTATACTGATGTACTGACACCTGGGGTAAGGAGCCGCAACTATAGGCAATGCGACAAACACACACATCTGAATAAGGCTGAAAGCAAACTGAAGAAACTTAGGGCACCTTATCACAAGGCCAACATTGTTGCTACGCAACCATATATACATTAAGCCAAATTAAGGTATGGGACCTGTTTACC